TGAATAACCTTAAAACTATGTGCTGGAAGGAGAGTGGACACATGGACATATATATCTCATGCATACACATGCACACACACACACACAGAATGTGATCAAAAGCTCTGTCCTGTATACAGCTACTTTGTGTCTGTTGGCAGGATCAGGCTACTGAGCTGGAATAACCAGCTTCATACAACTATTTTAGCACAGCCAACTGTAGCTACACCACTGTTGCTCCAACATTACTTCTCCTTTCACTCGCCAGTGTTTCCTTCTCTCGCACTGATGACTGTCTTTTCTACTTTGGAGAGCTGGTAGACAGGGGTAACCAGTATCTGTGAGTATTACTACCTGTTAAAAGCAACTCAGTTCCACCATATGATCTATGATATGGTACCAATGGCCTGAAAAGTGATTTCTGATATCCCTTGCTTACACTGAGGAAGTATTTTCAAGCTTAACTAAGAATTCTAAAGAGTAAAGCACAATCACAAAACTAAGACGTGTGTCTACAGAGACATGTGTCCTATCCAAAATTCAGATTCTTAAAATTTCTGCCGAGATTTTGCATCAGGAAGTGATGATATTAGGCAACTGCACTTAGAAAATGCTGTATCCAAGGCCTTTTGCGATTAATTAATTAAACCCTTCACATCTAAGGAGTCTGACTCATTAAAGATCTTCACGTTTAGCAGACAGGAGTCTGTACAAAGAAGATGCTGGGGACAAGAGCAAAGTGAGCAGGTCTCCCATCCTTGCTACAGCATCTGTTATAAACCAGTGTGGTACTTGCTGCATGAGGGAACTGCAAGACAGGCCTTACCTCCATAAACTATTAGGTGGATGCCATTATCGTTACATCCCAATAAATTAACTTGTAGAATAAATAATTAAAGCAGAGAAATTTCTTCATGTGTAAAGAATCCAGTGAACACGTCACTACTGTAGGAAATTTTGGCTCAGTTAAGTGAAAGGAGAGAGCAGAAACTGAATTCATTTGGTGTTTCATGAGTCCTTTAACTACTTAGCAGTTATACAGGTGGAAAAGCATGATAGCATATCCTCTTTACTTTTTCAAAAAAGGACTGGTATCAGCTAAGATTTGTAAATCCAAAATGGTAGACAGGAATTTCATTCCACCCAAAGTGGAAAAAACCCATGTCCAGGTGTTATTTATGAACTAGTAACTTAAACAGAATCCTTCTTGTTATGCTGTTTTTGTGGCTCCTGTCTCCTTTCATATGTTATACTGACATTCTAGGAATCATGTTTGGAGGTTACAATCTCCACTAGTCTTTTGGGTACAGAACTCATGAGCTGTAACCAGCCAATACAGAAAGATCTGCTTTGTGGTGCTGCTCATGAAGATACTAGAAATGCTGAAATCAACTGTGTGTTGAAATTAACTGTGACCTAAGAATGCAGCCTCAACCCACCCTACAAAACCTCTTTGATATATACTCTTCCAAGACCCACTGCTTCTTAGAAGCATGCTCCCTGACTCTCTTCTCCTTACACCTCTACTTGGACGGAGTGGCCAAAAGATGATAATTACAGGACAAAATGAACTTGAGGGGTCACTAGCTGGGGACACTCACACATGTTTATAAAAATACTTTGGCTTTGAAGACAACAGTCCCAGCAGTGAAGACTTATTACACAAAAGATGGACAGCCAGACACTTTTCACACAAGCCTACAGATGTATTATTAACGTTTGTAAGTCATGAAAACACAACCTTCACAACCCTATCCTCACAATTGTATTTTTTAAACTTTGTCTTTCTATGCTGCATGGAAGAGACACATTTAAAAAAAAAATTTGTACAACTGGCATCAGAATTTTTAACATACTAAAAAAAATTGAGCCAAAGATGATATCACAAAGTCCCTTATGCTTAAGGGAAAATGTTAAATCAATTAGCAGTTGCCAGAATAAAGAAGCAACAATTTGATGTATAAGTTCTCTACAAAAATAACAAACTTTCCATGTTCTTCAGAAAGTGGTTATATTATGCAACAAGAAAACTTCTCCATATTCTCAGCTCTTTAATGTTACAAAAGTTTTATTAGCATACGCTTCAGAAATTATAATCAAAGGATTGTACTCACTAACCAGAACTTTGAAGAGTTTATAAACATAAATGTACAGACTATGCTTCAGAGGGTTAATGTACTATTTTGAACTCAAGTATTGCAAATAGAAGTTAGCTTTGACACAGAATGTTCACACCCTCTGTAATAAATTCTTTTAACATACTTCATATTTCTTCCCATGTGAATGAGTGTCCTTGGAAGAATTATCTACTAGATAAAAGCTGAAGATGAAATCTAAGTCTAGACTTATTTAAAGGGGGTAGACACTGATCTTATAATCTGTGACAGTGGCTGATTAATGAGCTGCTCATGATTGCTGCAGGAGCAAATGATATTATAGGACTGGGAAGAATGTGCTATCTGGATGCCACACCTTTGCTGAAACTTAAGAACTCACGTTGACTCCTACTACATTTATTCTAGCCTTAAACTACCATATGTACACGACCAGATACACACTAACACACGTGCATACCCTCACTCCTTGCCTGCTGCTTCTGCAGCAGAATTGCTGCGCTACAGCACACATGGTAAGCATGCCCACTTCTAGCAGTCATGGTATGTGCTGTGTGGGGTCCACATGGTATGTTTTGCTGGTTGTGCTCTTGCATAAACAAATTCAAAACTTCCTGAAGCAGAATAGTAGTATCACATCCTGAGGGATTGATTTGGTCTTGCCTGACAGTCTGGATAATTTTATTTACATGTACAGGCATACATATGCACATACACATGCATGCATAAGACATGCCAGTATACACACACATATATTATAAATATAATGAACACACTGTGTAAACACAGCACATTATGCATAACCAGAGAAACTTCTATTCAACTATGTTCCAAGGTTGCAACAGAGCATGATTTAAATCTATAATAAAAAAGGCATATTACCAAACCTTTAGTGATAACACAGTAATTTCTGATTACATCTCTCAAACAACTTTCAGGAAAATTTTTTAACCTCTACTAACTTTGCTTATAAAATACCAATGCTCTTAAAGTGAAAACAACCCATACAAATTTTTAAAACTGTTCCCTGCACATTCATGTCCGAGACTTAGACGAAAGAAAAGCCAACAGGAAAAATGGGCACAAATAGAAAAAAAAGTCACTGTAATCCCACAAAATAGACAAGAAAGATTTTATTACCTTTAGCTGAAAACAACTCTTCTTTTGGTTTATCTGCTTGCCATTTTTCTTTTTCTCAATTTTGGAGATAATTCTCTTTCTAGAAGTGTGCAGAAAAATAACATTTTAACCACATCATCATGAACTTTATCACACCTTGAGTACACAGACTGTATCAGCCTCAGTAGACAATGCTTTTCAGCAGCACCATTAGGTTCAAGAACAAGGCTAAAATTCCACAAATGAGACATGAAAGCACATTGAAAGCTCAATGCACACCACTCAAATGAACACTGATTTTTTTAAAGTACATTTTTTAAAATTGTAAATAAACCCCCTCTCTAATCTCAGCAGACATCTTTTCACGGATTTGCTTGCATGAAAAAGGTGTAAGTAAAGACTATGCAGTGATAAATTAAGATTTCAACTACTCTTTTCACTTTGCTATGGGTTTGGTATGTGAAGTGACACCTGTGCCAAAACCCCTTACTTTACTCCCTAATTTTCCCAAACTAGATTCCAAGTAGCATGATATTCTGCTGTCTCCTGTAGTGATCTCTTCAACAAATATGACTATGATTAAATGCATCAAAGAGCAATGACTGAGTAAAATATGAAGCAGTTGAGAATGATCCTGATGTTTACTATTTTAAATGCAGCCGGTTAAAAGCAGTTCTAGAAAAGCACTGACATGAATGCCGATGTATGATTATGACTAATTTAATATAGACTGACAGAATTTCAACAATAAGTGGGTACCAATGACTGCAAATGTCATAAAACGGTTTCATAGAAAACATCTCCAAAAGTACTTAACTGTATCATTACATAATATTAGAATAAATAGAACACACCTTTTTTTCATTACAGTTGATCTACTCAAAAGCATTGAACTGACTAAAGCCATGCAAAAATCATGAAAACTTTATCCAGAAATTTAGTAAAACTACTAAGAATGTGAGTTACTTCAGCAATATTGAAAATATAAACAGTTCGCTATGTTAAAGGCTAAAATTATATGTGTTATATAAAGTCACACATTAATTTCTGCATGAAGCTGAGAATTTCTAGGCAATTCAGCAAATTGAACTTAAAAATGTTGAGAAGTTATTAGCTGATAACTAATAATGGGTAATGGACCTACCAGTGTTATAACTTTTCAGTATCCAACTCAGTGAAGTCAGAAGAACTCACTATCCAATTGAGCTCAGCAGAAGCAGAAGAAAAAGCTGCTTATGTCTAGGGACCATGAAATAACCTTTCAGAAAACCAGCGGAGACCAGGGCTCACTCATCCATGAGGTATTATGGAGAAAAGCACAGCTTTACCAGGAACTGAAAGAGATGAGCCTAAGTGCTTGGAGGAGGATTCACCAGATTACGCCTTTCATTAGGAAAAGTCAGCCTTTATATGAGCATTTTTGTTACAAATAACCCTCTCATGGAAGCAGAGTTCTAATACTACTATTAATTATGAGCACTGCACCCATCATAACATGTCACTTAATAAATGAGATAGTGAGTAACACATCTTTTGCTAAAATATTGTTCCTCCAGAACTACTTCAACATCACTCCAAAGTATCTTTAAAAACTGCCCTACTTATACTCACTTTGTAATATATTCAAACTGTTCACTTCAAAGAAGGAACTCAAATTGCTATGATATGACACTGTCTTCTCCTGAGAAAAGGAATGCAGAGACCACTGACAGTAAAATTATTTTCTGAGATCAAAACTAATAGTTAAAGGCATGAATCTACACAGTCATATGCTACAGTATTTAAAGATATTAGATGTTTTTAAATAGACATTCACAGAAGCTACTTAATCAGTGCTTGGTAAAAACAGAGGCAGCTCAGTAAGCAGAATGTATATCAAAGTTATGCAACAGAACCCATCAGCAAATGCTTAATATTTTTTTCCTATTAACATAATTATTTTGTAGTCAGTAAAAATGAAAATGACATGTTAGCATTTCAAAAACATGAGAAAATGACCCTCTAGGCTTTATATAACTATCAAAACAAGTACCAATACTTTATTTGCAAATTATTGTGCAAGAAATTATCAACTCAGCAAGTTTACCAGTCAACAAAGTGTGAGCTCTACCAGTTATAATCAATTTACATGTAATGATATGTCTAAATATGAATTTAAATGAGTTCTTGTCATTTCATGTTGATGAGCTGCTTTATCATCACAGATATGGACAGTGACCATAGCTAATGTTGCAGAAACAGCAAAACATGCACAAGTTTCATGAGCCAATGGTAACCCAGCACAAATAAATTTCTTTTCATATAAAAAGACAGCCTTGGACTGCTAAGCCATGTTTATTTTCCAGTCAAATTAACAAAAATACTTTTTAGGAGGTTATTTCCAGACATTTGCTGTATATGCTGCATCCACTGCAAATACACAGTATGAATCATCAGTTTTCTTACCTTGAAACCTACTGCATTTCTCTTGCAATGCATGAAAAGAACTCAGAGGCCAACACAAAATAAACAACCTTTCACCATCATCCCTGTTGTACATAAATATACATTCATAAAATTTGCAAAAGAAATATTCTGGAAATTAAGATAATTCTAGGTTCTATTACAGCAAATTGGTCATATCCCCACACAACCATCTTTAGTACAATCATCAAAAATTTAAAATAACTGGGGCAAATGAAATAAAATTCCATTACAGTGCTGATCAGAAGATATGTTGGAAAAATGCAAGACAAAGACAGGTTAACATACAAGAATGTATAATTAAAGGCTGGCCTCAAAAATGTCTTCATTTAATACAATTAAATTAATATAATGGCAACAACTTTATCAAAAGGACACCATTAAGTGCTAAAGTCAATTTCATTTTGCTTAGGATAGCGTAAGTAAGATAAACAAAGCTGAACATTTTCTAAATTATAATCCTTTTCATTTCCCCTAGCTTTATTAATAATATAGATATTCTGATAGAATACTCAATATAATTTTTACTGATATACAGAATCATTTAAATGCATATTTGGTACAATTTCTTATTTTTGGTGTTCAGTAGTTGCTTTTGTTTTGATAAAATGATATAGCAGATTTATGCTTAACATCACAGATACATTTTGTCTATGTAAAGAATTACAGAGCTTTTTCAATTGTGTAATGGTATGTTTCATACATTTGAAATTTTAAAAATGCTGCATGAACCTGTGACTTTGCCATTACACAGATCAACCATCAGAAATTGTAATGAGCATGAGCTGACACACATTTCTATCTTGGCTTCGTACAAGTATGGACACATTCAAAATGTTGTAATCTGTATGATTTGCTGTTACTTTGGTGATTGTGATATTCCAGGTGCGGATGCAAAGTGCACCTTAATGGTCCTCATAGAAGTACTTTTATCCCCCTGTATTTTAAAGGCATCAGATTCTTTTATTCTCCCTTGTAGCGAGGAGGTCTCTTCTCCTTAAATGCAAGAAGGCCTTCAATTCTATCTTTTGTTGGGATAGTCTGCAATGAGCAGAGTAACGATTCATTATTGACACCAAAACAATACCAAGAAATATATTTTCATACAAATCCTAGTTCTTCAATGCATCCAAGATGCATCAGAAAAACTATAATACAACAGAAAAATTAAAACGATATAGTAAGATATAGGAGTGTATTAGACACTTCAAGGGCACGACTAAAGGTTGATGAACAATTTGGGGGGAGAAGGAGTACCTTTTCTCCAAACACACGAGCTAAAAAAATTCTGTAGGGTTTGAGGTTTGTTGTGGTATTTGTTTTTTTGGGTTAATTTTGGGTTTTTGAGAGGGGGAAGAAGGTTAAAAATCTGATTACCACATCTTAAATAAGCATGTAATGCTGACAGTTCTGTTTCCATCATAAAAATCTTGTCTCAAAGTCTAAGAACACCTAATCTCAAACACATCATTCCCATGTTTTACTGGCAAAGAGGTTTGTCTCAAATTTTTATTGGTCAGCGCACATGCCATTAGCGCAGGTGTTACCGAAGTGTCCTTTGTATTCTTTCATGTTAAACCAAAACAAAGCAAAAGTAAGGCAGTCCTTGGACTGGCATGGTAGTGTATGACTGGCTACGTGTATGGCTGGTACTGCTTCACTACCTTCACCCTAACAGTACTGGTACCGATGTGTCCTGAACTTTGCCTCCTCCCTTAAATTCCTTACAAAATCAGACCAAGTAGATGGAAGTTTAAATAAAATGCCTAAAAATTTGCAGAAGAAATCACAAAGCAATTTCTAGTTAAATTTCTGCATGTTTCATAACAGGCATCAACAAAGCCTGTTTTCTGTGTTTTCTTCATATAATCATATTTACATACCTGAGCATAACAAGCTTCTTCAATTGCTAAACCTGTTACTAAGTCGACCTGAGGAAAAGAATACAATGGTTTTTACAAGAATTTTTTTATTTATTATATATTACTTATAATATGTAAATTACAGCTCACAGCTAACATAAATATAGTGGTTTTATATGCCACATACTAAAATACTTCTGCAAAGTTCTTCTACCCTACTTTAACACAGAAATGCTACACTGACATGTGGTAAGAGTGGTTAGTATTTCTGTAACAGACTCCTGATTTAGCCATACAACTAGCATGCACTACACTCAGAAAATGTCTGCTCTTTACTACGAGTCATCTGGTGAGGTAAAAACCATTGGCTACCTGCACATTTATAATAATTTCATTTACTACAGAGGAAAAGATGCACTGTATGATTATGTAAAATCTTTTCTGAAACAATGTATCTCCAAAATGTCATATAAGAATAGGATAGCATGCCACAAAATAAACACAAATCTAAGTTCAAAAGGATTTAAAACAGAAAAATAAAGAGGACCATGTCTGTCCTGCATCATCATCATCATCATCATCATCACCTATTTTTAATACATTTAGCTTCTTTGTGAGCTGTCCTGAACAGCTGAAAAGGCTGAATTTTGGCCTCACTATTTCTCCAACTGTCTTAAGCACCATATCCTACAGAATTCACTAGCTCTCTTCTTGACCACTGGAAGGACTATGGCTATGCACCACAAGCAGTTTTCAAGGGGAGGTAAGTTATAGCACAAGTTATCAAAGGAAGCCATGGAATCTGTGCCATAGTAGTTTTGTAACAACAGCTTGGACAACCATTTGGCTTGATTGGTTTTGATATACTAGATCTTGTCTTGGGCCTCAAGACTGAACTAGAGATGATCATTCAGAGTCCATCTAACCCCATCATCCCTAATTCTTTAAACACCATTATTTTGACCTTTCAATCCACTATATCTGTAGTCAGACAACTTAGCTTGTAGCATTTTGAACATTGTGTATTGAAATAAATCTCAAATTCCACCATTACTTGCTGTGGAAACCTAACATACTCTGTGCAATGGCATCCAAGTTTGATTCTCAGGCCACCACTTATGGGTGTTACGCTTTGCTGAGCTCACTGGCTGCTTTTGTGACTTTTAAGAAAAAAGGACAAATTCATCTTCTTGGATTCAGTCGCTGCATGTGGTATGATCCTCTTTCCCTTGTACCAGATTGAGATACCAGGTGTCTTGGTGCAGAGCCTAACTTTAAAAATGAACAGACCTGCTGAACTCAGCATTAGGATATGTACACCTAAAGTAAAACACATGTCCAGATGGGATTTTAAATGAGCTTTAGAGATAGGTCAATAGTGTGGCAATGGAGTGGCAATCAGAATCAAACATGAAATCAGGTTCCAGGTACAATTTTAACACTGCTATTAAGCTATTAAAAAAATAATATGCCCTTCAGCCTTTAACTTTATCAGTTACTAAACACTGAGAGCTTGACAGACTTAACAGAGTATGACTTTGATCATTTTTCCCACCTGAGATTTGAAACACAATTTGTTCGTAGTAGTTTATGTTTACTTTCTACTATTAATAATTAGCAGAGTACACTACTCTTGAGGTTACTAAGTCTTGTTACAGAAATCAGCACCTCAGGAGTCTGAGATCTAAAAATTATACTTCATTCTTTAGAAAGTTTTGACCAAACAGACTTTGAAAGACTACACAATGATAAAATAAAAACAGTTCTACAAAAAGAATTCCACAGCAGTACAACTGTGGCCAACCTGACTTACAGTCTACTCTCACGGAAAATACAGATCCTTACCTCCATTCCCTGATTGATAGCCAGTTTTGCAACTCTCATTGCTACTGGTCCCTAAAATGAGAGAGAAAGTTTATTTACATGTTATCAAAACCTGCAAGATTTGTAACTGGAGCGTCTGCACATCAATAATCTTATATTAGGACCATCTAGACTTTGGACTCTGTTAAATTTACTGTATATAAGTCTTATATCCTAGACTTTATCATTACAGTAGACACTTGCTTCTAAACTGATAGTTTGAATATTAAGAAAAAGTAAAAGTATACTATTTTCAAAAGAACCTAATTATTGTGTTTGGTTTATGTTTCAAAGGTGCTGAGTATGTCCACATTTGTCAAGCTTTATCAATTTCCATCAAAACAAGGCTCAGAATGGCCACTTTAAGATACATCATCATAGGTCTTTGCAAGGTCAGTCCTACATTCCCACTACTGCACAATAGAGACATGTGAAAATATGTCATCATGAAATAAAATTAACTGATGCAAGCTTCAAACCTGCAGTATGCTATAGCAAAGCCTGCTCTGGTCAAGTGATGACACTCTTCCGTGAGTGGCTGAGATCCCCAGTAAGCAGAGGGATTCCCACACTCGCCTCCAATGTGCTGCAGAACTGCAAGACATCTTTGCGAATCATCTCAGTCCTGTGCCTATCCATCAGCATCAGCTGCTGGATATTCAGGCCTGCTGATTTGGGAAAAGCCAAATGCTTATGAGGCAGTACTAATAAGAAGTTGTAACCATCAATCAACTTTCCAGAACCACTGTATGTTAAATTTTTTACTGTACTTTTAATTGTCTTTCAATCAAGGTGCTCAAGACAAAAATAACCACCATACCTAAGCTATAACATTTTACATTTCCAATGAAAAATTTTAGCTGTTACACTTGTGATCCAATAAAGTTGTTTAAAATTATTTTCTTTTTCTGCCTCCTATGAATTTTCTACCTAAGACCTTTTCTTTCCTTTTAGGCCTCCCTTCTGAGGAGTTCCACAGCAAAAAAGTAATCTATTGAAATAATTGCTATACTAAAAAATAAAACCTGTATAATTTTTTTTTTTTTTGTTCAAAAGTTGAAAGCCAGAACACATAATGAAAACAAAGACCAGATCATGGCAAGATGAGTACTGATGGAGGTTTTTTCCTTCACTATGAAAAAATTACCAAATACCACCATTCAATACAATAAAGAAAACTTCTGATTACTTGCTACATAATTAGCACAGCTTTTTTATACATAATGTTGACAATTCTCTTTAATAAACTTGTTTCTTTTTCAGTGTTATTATATGGTAAGAACTAAAAAACAAAATCAAAAGAATTTGTTATACCTGAGGTAAGAATTCTCTCGCCAGAGCTAATGCTCTTCTGTATGCAGCATCCCCTGCTTCATTCTGTTCTACCACATGGCTGATCAATCCTATTGATTTTGCTTCCTCACCATCTACAACGCGTGCAGAGAAGATTAGTTCTTTTGCCAATGACACTCCAATTGTGCGAGGTAATCTTTGTGTCCCCCCTAGAGTTTGTAAAAAGACAAAATGCAACTATTACTTTCCCATGTATCTATACCACAAATGTAGATGCCTTGGTCATTTTAAGTGTTTTCATTTTAAATTCCATAAACAATTACACAGACATACAGAAATTCTACTACTACAAAGGCATTATTAAGTACCTTCTTCAGTTTTTCAGACTGCATCTAAATTGAAATCAATTGCCCCATTTCTTAGAAAGACATGTAAGTAACTAAAAATAGGTACTATTAACAGAGATTCTGTCCTATTACAGACAAGTTACCTTACTCATATCAGCCAAAAGCTGAACAAAAACTACTTGACAGCGATTAACATATCCAAACCCTCTATTTCATTTTAATGCTACATATTTTAATGACATAAATCACCACTTCCAAAGAACTATACTAAAAAAGAAAATATACTTTATAAGTCCCTTCTAAAATTTGCACCTTAGGACAATATATTTACACGTAAACTAAACCAAAAGCGCTACTAGACAAAGTCTCTAAGAAGCCCTGGTTTTACCTCATCTTACTCCCATATAATTGTTGCAACCTTAAAGTGTAATTACAAAAAGCTAGGGAAGAACAATGACAGGTGCAGACCAGTGGAGAAAAGCATTTAACTTTATAACAGTTAGCATTTCTTAGCACATTAAAAACTTCCTTGAGTTATCAGCATTTTCAGAAGGTCAATAAGCAGTAACTACATTAACCAGAAATGAAGATTACTTAGCTGGACTAACAATTAACTTTTGAGAACTAACAAACAATGAGAATCTGGGAATAATCATTATCAAAATGGAAGATGTAGATTCAAATCACTGAAGCAGTTTATGAATTAGGACAGCAGAAATGGCCTTTATCCAGGAAAAAGGATTTTGAAAATCACAAGGTCTTCCATTTTGACATGGATCTGAAACAAATACTCAATTTATACAAACAATCTGTAAGCAAAAATTTTTTTCCAAATAGTTATTTCTGCAAGAGCATGCTAATATATTTAAATGTAAATATATGTATATATGCAAGAGGAATATTTATAGGAGTTGTTCACAGCCATGTGGTTTAACAGTGTCCAAATATGTGTGTTCAACTAACAAAATATTTTAATTTCTACTACATAATGTGGACTAAGCCACCAGAATTTTATTCAAGCCATTCAGTTCTCTTACTGATGTTTCCTGAAAATACTTTCAATACATTATGAGATAAACAAACTGACTGAAAACAAACTAAAAGTTTTTGTGATTTAATGATTCAGTTTTCAACTATTATTTTTCTGAACCACAAGCTTCAGTACAACTGTATTCTTTTCTATAAAATCAGATCTGCCTTTGAACATTTTACAAAACACAAAACTGTTGATAGTTTGGAGGATTTCTGCCTTATGCCTTTCTAGAATAGTAGAAGATGACGGCCTATAACAAAAACTGAGTTACATTTTCCAGGCAAAAACTGGAGGAATTAAAAAAATTATTATAACAATTACAATAAAATTTGTAGAACAAAAGCATTAGTAAATAATATGATATTCTCTATGACCTTGCAGTGCTTGAGAGGATTTTACCAAGTCAGTCCTAATGGTCAAGGGCAACAGATATTCAATAAATTCTGCTAATTCTGCTGATTTCTAAAGCTAAGCCAGTGAGAGTGCTAGGGTAAAATTTTGCTACCAGCACAATTTAGAGACATTTTTAAGAAAGGGACAAGGGATGCATATATGGAAAAGTAACCCCACACTGGATCCCAAAAAAACACTACAAACCCTGAAGCATAAGCCTTCCTTTCATCTTGGCTTACCTCACTGGCGACATTCATGGAGAATGACTAAGCTGTATCTATCAAATTTATACCAGACCTACATGCCAGAAAAATGTGAGTTGTGTTTTCAAGAAACTCACTGCTTGTCACACTGAGCTGTTCCACCACCATCATCCCCACCAAACATTTATTGGGTTTTTTATTTAAACATTGAATGTTCTCTAATTTTTCACCCAAATAAGCCATCACACTAATCAACATCTATTCTTACACACATTTTAAGCACACATTGAAACATAGCAAATGTCTGCCTTATTATCCTTAAGAATATTTTAGTCACAAATTATGCCTTTCATGGCAGCCATGGAATCTAGAAAAGCATTCAGTCTGGCTTTTGATTAAAGAAAACTATTTGTCCAAATCATAAGACCTGAAAACATTTGAGGCTGTATTTACTGACTCTGTATCTTCTGCTTCTTTCTTGCACGTATTCCTAGTATTTTTCTTTACTTAATTATCTGCCCCTTCCGTTACTGTTTTATCTCTTCTATTACTGCTTTACCAGGAAATGCTGAAAACAAAGTTTCATTGAGCAACAATATTTCATAACTTTGACCAAACAATGGATATGTTGAAGCATGAAAGAGTGTTTATAGATTAAAAAAACTGTTCTTGCCAGTGTCTTACACAATAATGATTAAAGAGGAAAAAAAAAAAAAAAAAAAGCAGACTATAGTTGTTTGGCTGCCTCCTACACTGAAAAGCCATTAAGCAGAGGAGCATACTCTTTGATTAATATTTACAGAACAGAAGCCAACAGTTCACTGCATCTATCATATATATTCAGTAGTAGGGGTAACAAACTTGCACACACAAAAGCTATAAGACCAAATTAATCAAATGCAAACAGCACACTAAAATACATCCAACACATTGAAATTGCATCCATTTATGAAGAAAAGATGGAGTATGCCACAGATAGATGTTCTGTTTTGGTAATACACAAAGAACACATAGTGTCTGCCAACTATAATCAGAGCTAAAGGAAGTAACACCCAGTCTTCAAAGACGTTACTTAACCAAGGCATTTCATCTAAATGTAGTGCAGAATTTGATGGGAGAATAGTTGTTTCATCTTCACAAATTTAATGACATGTTATTTCAAGGACTAGTGATCTGGTATTACTCACTGTGCTGATAAAAGCATTTAACATTTACAGTTGCAATGTAAATGTGCTCTTACCTGAAATGGCATAGAGTCAATGTTGTAATCATTGCAAATAGCACTTTTAGATATATTATTTCATATTTAAAGTTTGTTCACTGTGAAAAGACACAGTAAACAAAAGAAGGCTAATTTCTGGTACAAAAACTATTAAACAGTATTTTTAAAAATTTAACAAATAGTTTATTTTGTATGAATATTTATTTACTGTGAGTAATTCATCATTTACAAAATATGTACACAACTGGTTTGAATTAAGGGAATTACGTGATAAATGCCCAAGAGTATATCCAACAAGATGAAGCAACCAGCTTACTGGAAATAGATTCATCATTCTGGCAGAGAATATCTACAGTCAGTAGTTTCTCATAGCTGACGGCACTGTCAAAACATATTGGAAAAAATCATGTTCTGACAAAAAAAAAAAAAATCCAAAATGTTATTCAGTAATAATCCTGTTTACTAAATCAAGTAAAGTCAGTCTTCCTATCCTATCCTATCCTATCCTATCCTATCCTATCCTATCCTATCCATCCTATCCTACCATACCCTACCCTACCCTGTCCTACCCTGTCCTATCCTATCCTTTGTTTGATTCACAGCAGATGAATTTAACTGACAGGTTTCTAGTTTTCTTCTTTTGAAGAGTACTGTGCACATCTTATATTTTACTAATAATCAGTGGTGAAACCAAAACCAGTCATCCACAAACCTTCTAATTAGAAGTAAAATGTATCCTTGTGGTTTTTTTGCAGAAAACTCTAAGTAGATTTTTCACTCTTCCATTGAAACTCATAAAAATATGGAAAGCAGATAGCTACTGTTTATAATAGTGAATCCTCAACAATGTAAGCTCACAAAAAAACCTAATATGGATAAAATTATTATTTTGGTATAACACTTTTCAGTCATGTTATGTCCTATTTACAAGTCTCCGTAACAGACATAGCTTCCACTGTTAAAATTCCTACCATCTGTTGCTAAGTTAAGAAGTTTTCAAAATACAAAACATGCTAAAGGTCTAAACACTGTACCTAGATAACATTTAATGACAATTTTCCAACAGACTATTTCCAAGATTAGGTCTCAGTCTTGAGAAGTTGTATACATTTTAGTTAATTTAAATCCAGGTATAAATCTTTATGGGCTCAGGCATCCCCAATTTTCTCACAGAAGAAGACATGAAGAACATGAAGAGCCCTTCTCCAGCACAAACCAGAGAACCAACTAATAACCAAAACAAGCTTAGACTGGGAAAGACACCCATAAAGATGCAAAAAGATGACAGGATGAAAACATGCTGGAGAAGAAAAGTGATGGAGAAGAAAAGAAACAAAACACTATTTCTGTAAGAGGAAAAAAAGCTCTGAGATGACAAAGAGCAGGCGGTAGTTAAGGCCACTCTTATATATGACCACACAAGTCTTTGTTTGGAAAAAGACTGGAGATCTGAGGAAACACTGAGGCAGTGGCCTGAGGCTGACTCAGAAGTTGCTCCAGGGTTTGTAATGACTGAGGAAAGAAGTTTTTTTAGCAAAATTTCATAGGAGGTTGCCCAAAGGGTTCACACAAATCTGGCTTGTCAACCAAGCCAAAGAAAGCTCCACAGACATTCCAGACACAATCTCCCTAGCTGAGGTCCAAGAGGCAGGACAACTTGCTGTCTATGCCAGCCTGGCTGTGGCAAACCCCATCTCCAAAACAGCCCACTTAATTTGCAAATCAGTCCTTAACTTTCACAACACATTCTATTCATCTGCATCTACGGACTGGTTTATTTAAAAACCTATCTGAAAAATACCTATACCAAACTGCCATGCGTGGGTGGCTTGAAGATGACAGCTTAAATCAGAAGAATGCAGTACTTGGCCTGAAGATGTATGAATGCCTAAGATGCATGAGAGGAAGTGTAAATAAACTTTAAGAATTCACTAGCAGTTAAATAATTACAGCTTTTGTACTGAAAGATGAAATGGTCATGTAAATTAGAAAAAGTAATTTATTTTCAAAA